GCTGGGTTGAGGAGATCGAGAGAAAGCAGGGCAGAAGCCACAGTGCCATTTATGATCTAGCCTCAGAAGTCACACTTGCCATTATTGCAACATCAGTTGCTTACACAGGTGTGCCCCATTCATTGTGGGAGAGGACACTGGGGGTGGAAATACCAGGAGATGGGCATGATTGGGGCTCTTGGAAGCTGCTGGCACAGCTGCTTAGTATCTCCCCTGTTCCTCATTGGTTGCTTCCTAGTTTTGGACAGCAGTGTGGAACGACAGTGGCCCTTCTGCATACGTAGCTTCTCATGAAAATACACCAAAAGAACTTGAGAAGCCACTTAGCTTCCCAGTTGCCAGGAACACAGTAATGGCTCATAAAATTACATTGATTTAGAGTTTACTGACTTGACGATTTGTGTTAATAGAGGAGCCATTTGTAGGATTTTTCTTTTATTTATGTATTTTAATCCTTACTTGAGGATATTTTTCCATTTATCTTCAGATACAGTGGTAGGGAGGAAGAGAGAGAGAAGAAAAAAAAAAAAACATCAATGTGAGAGAGACAGATACATCAACTGGTTGCCTCCCGCACAACCCCGACCAAGGCCGGGGACTGAACTGCAACCAAGGTCCATGCCCTTGGCCAGGATCAAACCCAGGACTCTTTGGTCCACGGGTCAACGCTCTAACCCAACTGCTGAGCCAAACTGGCTAGGGCTGTAGGATTTTTCTTAAGTAACAAATTTAGAATGACTTCATTTGGGGAGGACTTTTGACTAGGAAAGAAGATGAATGGGTGTAAACTTTAAAATTATAGATTGTTAGCACATTATTTCTCTGATAGTTGTGCCTTGATCCTTTGGGCTGCTCTAGCAAACTGCCAGAGACTGGGAGACTTGTAAACAACAGAATGTATTTCCCCCAGTTCTGGAGGCTGGGAGTCCGGCCAGGGTGGACAGCGTGTCTGGTGAGGGCTGTCACCTCGTGGAAGAGGTGAGGGATCTCTCTGGAGCCTCTTTCATAAGCACCTGTCCCATTTATGAGGGCTGCACACTTGAGGGCTGACCACCTCCCAAAGGCCCCATTTACTAATACCAGTCACCTTTTGGAATTTCAAATTTTAACATATGAATTGGAGGGTTGGCACAAATGTTCAGACCATGGCATTATGTAAATAGACTTATTTTGAATTTGTAAATTTCCTTCAACTTATCTCTTTATATTATCTAATATATCATAATATCTAATATTATCTACTCGTATACAGGCATTCCCAAACTGAATTTTGGTTTTTTGTTGGTGTGTTTCTTCTCTTTCTCTTTTATTTATTTTCTTTGGTTGTATTTGTCCCAACTGGATTTAAAAACTACATTTTTTGAAGTTCATCACTAGGAATTAGGTTTTGTTTTCCCATATGAAAAAAATGTTATATTCTTGTGTTCTTCAAATTAAACTTATGTTCCAAGGCTAACCCACAGTTACTTAATGTATTAGAGACGATTTTTGTTTGGAAAGTTAGAAGGAAATAGTACCATTGCAACTTTAGTAATTAACAAAACCAAGTAAGTGCAGTCTTGAGCAGGAGGAATTATCAATCTCGTACTTAAGGAAAAATGTATGTAATTTGAGAGAAGGTCTTATTGGAAATTTAGGGAAATTCTGAAAGAGGCCTCTGAGATTCACTTAACTGGTTTACTTATGTACATATGCACGTACATATGTGTACCTATACACAAAACATCAAACCCTGTTCTCACCTTTATTGGCCTCAAAGTATTCTTTTACTTGTTTTGTTGTTGTGTTTTTTGGTTTTAGGGGTGGTTTATTTGGAAGGGGTCTGCTAGGAAGTCTCAAAACGGAATGAAGAAAAGACCGATGTTATCCAGCAAGTCTCAGAAGAGAAAGGAAAGGTGTTGGAGACTAGAAGAAAATAAGGAAATTGGGGAGGGAGCTGCATTTGAAAACTTTAAGAAGTTTTTCATTAAAAGAATTGTACTGTTTTTCGAAATAGTAATAAAATAGAAAGTCAGTTGATAGGTTGATGCTTTAAAGATATGTATGGAGTAAGTAATATGTAGACAAATATGTTGAGTGAGATTAGATCTTGTGGTTAATTCATGACAAATTATAATCTTATATGAGTCAATAATAGTATACTTGAAAATTTGTTTGATACTAGATAACAAAGCAATTCTTGGAATTGATCTTTGTATCTTTTGTTGGTTTCTATGCTGCTGTAGATAAATAAATGTTAGAAGATTCTGTATAGTTAATTATAGTTTTGTGTTTTTAGAATAAATGGCAGGAAATCATATTGGGAAACAAGCTAGACATTGGGGAAATATCTTATTTGTAAGTCTTAAAACAGAAAATTGATAAAAAAAAAAAAAAGCCCTCTGGAAATTAAATCAACTGTTTTAGGATATGTCCTTCTCTAAGTTTCAAAGATCCTTGCTGGATCTCAGACTTTTATAATTTCTCTTAATCCAGTGATACATTTGTATCAACTTCTTATGAATTATTTGAACTTTTCCTTTATATAGATTTAAGTTCAATGAATAAAATAGTGAATCAGAGTCCATATATAGTACAAACCAAGAGTTACGCCCTGGCCTGTTGGGTTCAGTGGTTACTGCATCGGCCTTCAGACCAAAGGTGTGGGTTTGATTCCTGGTCAAGGGCACATACCTGGGTTGCTTGTTCGATCCATCCCCAGCCTGGTCAGGGTCCTGTGGAAGGCAACCATCGATGTGTCTCTCTCACATCAATGTTTCTCTCTCTCTACCTCCTTCTTTTCTACTCTATCTTAAAAAATCAATGGAAAAATATCCATGGGTGAGGATTAACAACAACAAAAAAAGAGTTGCAATGAAACATAGCTGTGGACCTTACTTCTGAATGCTCACTATTTGTTTGAGGAAACAGCTCATATATAAGTAGTGTAGATAAAACTTTTGTAGCCTTATCAGTGACTTCTTTTTACTATTCAGAATGTAAAGCTTATGATCTCAAAGTAAGCTTTAGAATTGAATCTAATTTTGGTGATATATGTACCAAGTCTAATGCTTGCAGCCTCCTCCCCACCCCTCCATACATGAATTGAAAATGCCCTGCCCTGCAGGGCGGTTCTGAGTTGGAAAATGACTTGTGCCTTCAGCCGTGGCCGATGTGCCTCGGTTGGAGCATCATCCGGTGTGCCAAAGGGTCACAGCTTTGATTTCCAGTCATGACAGATGCTCAGGTTTCAGGTTCCATCCCACAGTCAGGGCAGGTGCAGGAGGCAGATCGATGTTTCTCTCTCACATCAATTTCTCTCTCTCTCTCTTCCCCTCCCTCTCTCCCCCCGCCCCCTTCCTCTTTCTCTAGAATCAATGGAAAACATCCTCCAGTGAGGATTTAAAAAAAAAAACTTGTGCCTTCAGGTAGAATGAGGCTCAGAAAGTCTCAGGCACACTTACTGGGGTGGGGTGACCTATTTGAAGGGATGCCAGTGCAGTGCTCAACCCCACGTTTCTGGGGAGGAGGAGGGGAGCGTGATACACCAGGAGCGAGAAGACAGTGGGTCAACATCTGTAAACCACGGGAGAGAAGGGCTGCATCCCCCACACTGCGTAAAGCTGCAGGCGCGGTCCAGAAGGTCAGCAGAAAACAAGGCATTTCTGGAAATGCAAGGAATACCCGCTATGGACGTCCAGTGCTAAAGACTACTCGAAGTGTTCTTGCAGATGAAAGTTGAAGCATAACATGCTTCTAAAGATAAAGGAAACACATAGTTTTATAGGAAATCTGTACAGTATTATGAGTAGTTACATCTAAATGGGTGGAGTTGCCCAGCCAGTGTGGCTCAGTGGATGGAGCATCGTCCCATGGACTGAGACATCCCGGTTTGATTCCTGGTCAGGGCACATGCCTGGGTGCGGGCTCAGTCCCTGGTCGGGGACATGTAGGAGGCAGCCGATCGATGTATCTGTCTTTCTCTTCCTGTCTCTCTAAAAAGTAAAAACAATCAATTAAAAAAAAACTAAATGAGCCCTGGCCAGTTTGGCTCAGCGGTTAGAGCATCAGCCTACAGTCCAGAGAGACTCAGGTTCGGTTCCCTCTAAGGGCACGTACCTTGGTTGCAGTTTGTCCCCGGCCCTGGTTGGGTCATGCGGGTGGCGGCCAGTCGATGTGTCCTTTTCACATCGATGTTTCTCTCTCTCTCTCTCTCTCTCTCTCTCTCTCTCTCTCTCTCTCTCTCTTCCTCTCTCCCCCTCCCACTCTATCTAAACAAATTAATTAATTAATTAAAATTTTAAAAAACTAAATGGGTGGAGTTAATCAAAATTTTTGTTCGGCTTTTTCGTCCCTTTTTCCCTCATCCCAGTCCCAACCCATCCCCAGCCCTGCTCCCCGCACACTCCTTACTGTCATTTCAGTGATTTTTAGGAAGGAGGTGAGGTAAAAACATGTGCTCAGTCTAACATCTTGATTTAGAAAATCTATTTTTATTCATTTATTTATTTTATTCTGTAGGTTTTTGTTTTTAAGATTTTTAATTGCTTTTTTAGAGATGTTAATAAGTCAATTAGAGAGGGGGAGAGAGAGAAACATCGATGTGAGAGTGGAATGTCGATCGGTCGCCTCCTGCACGCCCCTCCCTCAGATCGGGCCTGCCACCCCGGCACGTGCCCTGGCCGGACTCACACTCGCAACCCTTCAGTGCACGGGGCGCCGCCAACCAACTGAGCCACACCGGCAGGGCTAGAAACTCTGTTTGTAAATTGCTATACTTCTTACCACAAAAGGTTCTTATGGAAACTTATTGGTCATGGCTGTTGTTGCAAACAACAGAACCCAGCTGTGGCAGATTTAAACAGGAAAGGGATTCACCCGCGGGGTACTGGGACAAAGGACTCGGGAAGGCTGGAGAAACAGGCTCAGTCAACTCCCCAGAAATTATACGAAGCTTCGCAGAGACGGACTGTATCTTCATTTAGAAGTAAATTGCCTTTTTCTTCTCTTTTCAAATGTAGGTTATATATTTGGGGAGAACTCCAGAAGAAGCATATAGAATATTAATGTTTGGAGATACATCCTATATTCCTTTCAGGTAAATATAAGAATGACATGGTAGATTCATTTACTCAGGCCCTTGCCAGAAATATTTGGTGTAGCTGTTTCTGAAAAAGGAAGACCTAGTAGTCATTTTAGGGTGGATGCAAATAGCACCATAGACCGAGGTTACTCAGCAGTAATAACTATTGATATTTTGTTATGGGGGCATCCTTTGCATTGTAGGGTGTTTAGCAGCATCCCTGACTTCTGCCAACTGGATGTCGGTGACACTTCCGTCCCCACAACAATTGTCAAAACTAAAAATGTCTCCATACATTGCCAGATGTCCCTACTCGAGAACCACGCTCCTTGATGGAATAATCAGATGAATCCTGATTTACCGTACTCAAAACTACCACTGAGGAGTTTGGTTCCTGAGGAATTAAGAAAAATTTCCCTGCTAGTCAGGAGTTAATTTCTAGGGTAAGGACAAACCCCTTTTCCTGGGGACACAGCCAGCAGGGGTAAGGGGTGAGGTTGCTAATGTTGCACCACGACTAGAAAAGCCCTCTGTGTCACAGAGGTGGTAGGTGAGTGATGTCTTCACATAAACGGATGCCGTCCTCATCGTCCTTCCTGGGTGACGTGTTGAAGAAAGTGCTCCGTATCTGAGGTGGGTCGGAGGGGGTGAATGTTCTTTTCTAAACTGGAAAGTGCTCCATTTTTCTTCTCAACCTCAAATGGAACGGCAACCATGTGCTTCCTTTAGGAAAGAAGCTTGTATTTTTGGTCCTTGAGTGACAGGCACATCGATATACAGTGATAATTTTGTTCTACAGAACTCTTCTTTATTTTTTATATTGCAAATTCTTCATGGTAGTGCCATTCTTCAAGTTCGTACCAATGTCCTGAAATATGAAGGTCACATTTCACCTCATCCATGACACATGGTTGATGTAAAAGAAGTTGTATGTTCATTTATATGTAGGGACCACAATAGAATAAATGATGCTTATGGGTACCTGTGTTTAAGTTATTGAATTTTGGCATGAGAAATGAAGTTGGTTACTGCCAGTTCCAGGAGCAAAGTCAGTAGTTCTCTAATGAACAGGACTTCCCTGAAACAGTTCAGGCTTGTGCAATTTGAGTTTCTTCAGTCACCTGTGCCAGACATTTGGTTTCTCTAAAGCACTGTTTCTCTGTGAAATAGGGCTGGACTGTGAACTTTTTGTTGCCAGCCTATGATGACATAAATACAGGAATTGATAAGAGCTCAGAGACTTTTATTTTTCGAAATATTCTTATTGATTTTTAGAGAGAGAGGTAGAAACATTGATGTGAGAGAGACAAACATCCATCGACTGCCTCCTGCACACCCCCTACTGGGGATCGAGCCCACAACTTGGGCACGTGTCCTGACCTGGAATAGAACCGGGACTTCTCAGTCCGTGGGACGACGCTCAGTCCACTGAGCCACACCAACCAGGCGAGGTCAGAGGCTTTTATAGAAATTTAATAGAGTAGGTGTATGTATGTCTGTGGAATCAAACAACAGAAGAATTTGGGCTTGTATCTTGTGTTTTTTCCTTCTACTTTTCTAGTAATTCATTTTTATCTACAAAAGTAAGATTATTGCATTGTGCTTGTGTAATAGTACACTATTACTGCATTTTTATTTATTGTATTTTACAAAAGGATCAGCCCGTGACACATTTAAAAATCTGCCTCACCACAGCTCCCTGTTCCATAGAACTTACTGATCAGATAGAGCCTGGTAATGTTTTGAAAGAAATTACACTAGAATAGCCTCTTATCTTTGCCCTTTCGGGTTTGACTGCAGCTGCTGACAAAGCGTTGTTGACACGTTGTTGACGGCAGTTTTACGCAGAAAGTTATCTCATGTCACTGGCTATTTTTTCATAATTGCGTATGAAAGTGAAACAATCTAAATAAACTTAGTATACTTTATTTATACATAATTTAAATGAAACTTTGTATATATCTGCTACATATTATATTTTATACATATTGTATATTTTAGTAGTTTTTTTGATGTGGTATACTTGTATAGCTATCACCTTTTGAAACACACACTTTACACATTCTAGTTGGATTTTTTGTTTATACCAGAGACTATTTTTTGTAAAACGTGGTCTTTTAGTTGCCCTGAGAGCCTAAAGGGTGAGGAGCTCTTTTAGAAGGTGTGTGAGGTTCTGAGCTGCACTCATTTGAACCAGCAGATACCCATCCCCTACCTACTTCAAGAACGTAGAACGGTGTGCTGTTTTTTGAACTTCAACCCTCAGGGCAAAGAGTCACAAATACAATAATCCTTTATCACCCTGAGTTTCAAAAATTGAAATAGCTAATGCAAATGCAAACACGAGTTAACTCGTGAGTGGTCAGCAACATTGGGGCGGAAAACACAAGTTAACTGCTGAGCGGTCAACAATGTGTTAACAAGGGATTGTGCAAGAAAAGCATTCATTTACAGTCAGTAACTTTTATGCTCCATAACAGTATTTAATTCAACTTAGATATAATTCTTCAACCATTGAGTTTACATATGTGTGTGTGTATATATATATATGTGTGTGTGTATGTAGGTGTGTGTGTATGTATATATATCAATGTATGATTTTTCTTTTAAAAATAATATTTTCCATTACAGTTTATTTTCAGTATTATTTTATATCAGTTTCAGATATACAGCAGAGTGGTTAGATAATCATATACTTTACAAAGTGGTTCCCTAATAGTTCATGTACCTACCTGGCACCGCACATAGTTATTACAATATTATTGAGTATACAATGTATGATTTCTTAATGAATTATTAGTTATTTCTCTGCCTAAGGGAAAAAATAGTCTAAAATATAATTTAACACTTTCTTTTGATACCTAGGATTACTATTATAAAGAGCATGTAGCTCTATTCTTTGACATTACCTAGAATACTCCTCTGCTTCTTAGTTGATTTGGGGGGTGGTCTCTGCTTTCCTTTTTAGAGGTGGTATTACAGAGTTGCCAGTAGCTTGGCTGTTGACAGTAGACAGATGGGAGTGTGACACTCAGCTCTGTTACTAACATGTCTGTGGTTCTTTACAAACATGAGCCTGGCTCTCCTGTCAGCGGGAATGATAGTCGCATCTTCCTAATGGGATTAAGAGGATTACGTAGCATCCTGCATATAAAACAATTGGTATAGTGCCTGGTCCTCAGCTAATGTTTGTTGAACATTCATTTTTTTTTAGATGTATAACTTACAGATTTTACAAATCACTAATCTTACGGATATAACCCAGTAAACGTTCACTTGTGCCCGTGCGGCCGCCACCCAGTTCAAGGTGCACAGCAGTGACAGCACCCTGCACCCCCTTCCAGCCAGTAAGCTCCCAAGCCAGGGCTCTGCCACTGTCGGGAAGTGCTCTTGCCTTTGAACATTAAATAAGTGGCATCATACAGTATGCTTTTTTGGAGAGCTGGGATCTAGCTTTTTAAACACTGTGAGATTTTGTGGTCCATGTTGTGGTCGGCATCAGTAGTTCATTCTTTTTCTTTTTCATTGCTTTCGTAGCATTCCGTTCTATGAATATGTCATGATTTATTTGTCTATTGTCCTTTTTTTAAAGAGAGGGAGGAAGGGAAAAACATTGATGTGAGAAAGATACGTTGATCTGTTTCCTCCCATATGTACCCTGACTGGGGATGGAACCCATGACCTTCCAGTGCATGGGACAACGCTCTAACCAACTGAGCCACACCGTCCAGGGCTTGCACATTGTCCTTTTGATGGGTCCTGGGTTATTTGTGGTGTGGGGTTATTATGAGTACAATCTCCTGTGAAAGCTGTTATTCTTAAAAACTAGTTATTGAGCCCTGGCTGGTTTGGTTCAGCGGTTGGAGCATCGGCCTGCAGTCCAGAGAGACCCAGGTTCGGTTCCCGCTAAGGTCACGTACCTTGGTTGCAGTTTGTCCCCGGCCCTGGTTGGGTCGTGTGGGTGGCAGCCACTCGATGTGTCTCTCTCTCTTTTCCTCTCTCTCCCTCCCGCTCTATCTGAACAAAAAATGGAAAAAATGTCGTCAGGTGAGGATAAAAAAAACCCAAAAAACTAGTTATTGACATTGTTTGCATTTTCAAAGCAATACTCCTTCACTGATTTGCATCCAATTTTCTAGCTTTCTTAAATGATCATAGTGCCAAGCCCCCTCTTCCGGCCACAGGCTGACATCCACCTCCATAGCTGCTGTTTTGAGGAAGCCTGATTGTCTGGTGGGAGGAAGGAGGTGGGAATGAAATCAGCGTCAGTGAGGAAAGAGAGGTGGTAATCTGTTCAGATAGTATGATATATACGGCAGAACGGTAGCCGAGCCCAGGTTAAATCATCATTGACTAGAGCAAGTTTTGGGCCACAGTTGGTTCTCCAAAAATAGGCATTGAGCCCTGGCTGGTTCGGCTCAGTGGTAGAGCGTTGGCCTGTGGACCAATGAATCCTAGGTTCGATTCCGGCCAAGGGCACGTACCTTGGTTGCAGTTCATCCCTGGCCCTGGCCCTGGTCAGGGTTGTGCAGGAGGCAGCCAGTCGCTGTTTCTCTCTCGCTCCCTCCCTCCCTCCCACTCTGTCTGAAGATAAATGGGGAAAAAAAACACCAAAAAAATAAAAAAATAGGCCTTGAGTGCATGTATCAAGTTGTCACAAAGATTGAATCAACATGCCTTAACTTGACTGGAAAAGAGTCATTAGGTGGCTAAGAAGATGATAATCCTAGGTAACGAGGAGCCATGGCCAAAAACCACTGGGATATAGCTTGAGAGTTTGTCCTATTTCCACTGATAATTTTGATTTAGACTAAAGTACTTTATTTTCTTGTTTTCAATCTTTTTTTTTTATTTAATTGATTTTAAAGAGGAAGGGAGAGGGAGAAAGAGATAGAAACATCGATGAGAAAGAACATCAATTGGCCGCCTCCTGCATACCCCCCACTGGAGATCGGGCCCACAACCTGGGCATGTGCCCTGACTGGGAATCAAACTGGGGACCTCTTGGTGCATGGGTCGGTGCTCAACCACTGAGCCACACCAGCCGGGCAGTACTTTATTTTTTTAACATAGCTTCTCTTTCTAAAAACATTCCTTATTTTATGAAAAATTATTTCTATGAAACAAGTATTTGTGTTGATTTTGTAGGTCAATGGTTCTTACACTGAAACTGAACATACAGTTACCATCACCTGCTAGAAAAAACAGTACCTGTCCCCACCCTTGAACTTCTGACCCAGCAGGTCTGGGGAGGAGCCTGCGAACCGGGTGATCCCGGGAGCCCGCTCTGTCATCCACCGCTCCAGTCATTATGTTTTTTTTCCTTTCTGAAAAGTATTGTCAGTGAGCTGTTGGTAAAATAGAGACTATTCCCAGCTTTTAGAAGAGCAACTTTTAAGTTCAGATGCTTACAGAACAAAAATGGCATGTTGTGAGACCGCGTGCGCAAGCCTTGTGAAGGCTGGCCTCCAGCAGACCTCGGGGACCCAGCCAGCTCAGGCAGGGTCACCCGAAACGGTTTCGCTTAGGTGGATGCCCTTACTCTTCCTCATTGTTCGTTTAATGTTGCTGTAATCATCCACATTCTTTTTTTTTTTTTATCCTCACCCGAGGACATTTTTTCCATTTTTTGTTCAGATAGAGCGGGAGGGAGAGAGAGAGGGAGAGAGAGAGAGAGAGAGAGAGAAACATCGATGTGAAGGGACACATCGAGTGGCTGCCACCCGCCCGACCAACCAGGGCCGGGGACAAACTGCAACCGAGGTACCTGCCCTTAGCAGGAACCGAACCCGGGTCTCTCTGGACCGCAGGCCGACGCTCCAACCGCTGAGCCAAACCGGCCAGGGCTCATCCACATTCTTAAGGTTTGTGCAAACATTAAACATTTTCAATGTACAGTTTAATTTTTCAGGTCAGTAATATTAAATGCGAAAACCCAACCAAGGCAGGCGATTGGAGCTCCAGTAGCTACCCCGTTCCACATAAGGATGAAATGATTACCATGCAGACAGGACAGTCGTTGGGCAGGTCTAGAAGGAGCATACTGAAATTAATTTTTATCTTAATTCCCAAAATGTTCACTTTGTAATGGCTCAAGGGAGTTGGAAGGAGAAGCCAGTGGCCATAGAGGGACACTTTATCTTTCTGGACACGACCCTCACTGATACTGAGCGCTGTGTGCGAGCATTGACAGGTGCTGGGCAGTCTTCTGCAGACGGGCATGAGCGCTCCCTAGAGCAGAGTGATTCTGCTAAGGGGTGTTGGTGCCTTAGTTCCTTTGTTTTATTGGTACTGTTGTCCTTTTAAGAATCAGAAGTTATCCAGTCAAACTGTTAAACTGTAAAAGCATGACAAGGGGGGGAGAAAAATGCATTTTAGTTGGCACCTAGTATTTCAAATATTACCCCTTTCTCCTGCTTAGATGGAGATGTACACAAACACACGTGGGCTTATACACACGCACACATACACACACAGATTCAAAAAGCAGTCTCTTCTGGTAACAGCTCAATACGGTATTTTCCAGTGTGAAGAGAAAATTCAAATGCCTTGCCCTTTTAGGGTAGGGGTCCATAGTATTGATCAATAACTCTTCTTTTGTGGGTTTGTTTTAATTGATTTTAGAGAGAGCTGGAGAAACATGGATTGGCTGCCTCCTGCACACCCCCTACTGGGAATCGAGCCCACAACCTGGGCACGTGACCCCTTGGTACCCAGAACCACGCTCAACAAACTGAGCCACATGGGCAGGGTGATTGGTAACTCTTGAAGCTCAGCCATCAAAGCCAAAAATGATCCAGAGAGATTATTTACACTTTAGGAAGTGGTCATTACTGATTCCCATCTGTAAAGCAGTGTCTGCTGGAGTAGGTAGAGACAGCAGCAAAATTTATAAAGTGATTTATTTTTTATTTAAAAACTAAACAGCAAGAATTCTGGTGTGTTTTTTGTTTTTGTTTTTTCGAGACTTGCTCTGAGTACATGTTTGATTTTAAATACTAGTCAGCTCTGGTTTGAGTAAGTATACTGCAGAAAATTTACTCGATCCATGTATTTCAATACTTTTGCGATTTCAGAGATGCTGCCTACGGGAGTTGCAATTTCTTCATTACCCTCTTGGACTGCTTTCACGCGGTGAAGAAGGTGAGTGACTCGGGACCGTCCACCGTTGTGCTGGAGAACTGAGTACCGTCCAGGGAAGGCTAGTTCTCCTTCCCCAAAGATATCCCACGGCGCACGACGTCAGAGGTACCCATGCCCCACCGGCGTTAGAATGACCCCACACTGGAAGAAAGTTTGTCCCAAACCTGAGAGCTCTGTGTGAGCTGAAGAGCCACTCGGACAGCGGGGCCATCAGACGGGTCCTTTTGCTCTAAAGCCAGGCATGGTTTGAGTGTGTAGTGCCTTCAGAGAAGCACGGAATGGCAGTAGCTTACTGATTTCTCGGTTCTCTTTCATTGATGTATTTTCATAAAATACATAATAGGACTCCCACCGATCCTGTTTACGTTTTTATAACATACTAACTGTCCAACATTTTGTTTTTGTGTCTTCAAGCAGTCAGTTTCTAATTCAACAGAATTTGAATAGCCCATTGGTTTGTTGGTAGGTAGGTTTTACATAAAACTAAGTGGGTCACTACTGCTTTGTCAGAGCTATTTTAAATATGTTTTTGTTGGTTTTTTAGAGAGAGGAAGGGGAGAGAGAGAAAAAAAACATTAAGCCTGCAACAAGGGCTTGCTTTGACCGGGAATCGAACCAGGATCTCTCAGTCCATGGACAACGCTCGGTCCACTGAGCCACACCAGCTGGGCTGTGACGGCTATTGTAAAGTAACGCCTGTGTTTTATAACCAGGGCTCCTTGCTTTGTTTGACCCCAGGGGAGTCATTCCAAATGATGTGCTCCCCTGAGTTACGGGACACAGCAGACCCTGGTCATAACACTCACTCCCTTGGGTATATCTCTTGGATGTCAGGGCAGCACCAGAAACTAGAATTGTAAACCAGTAGCCCATGGATCAGTAAGCCTTTAACAGCATCTCAAGTTTTATGTGATTTGCATTTTCAGAGGCAAAAAGAACCCAAGTTTATTACCTCATATACTGAAACATGGTGGCTTTCTGAGAATTTTGACATAAATTTTATGGATGAAAGGGGGAGGACTAATTAGTATCCAAATTCAGAGATTAATTGGCATACCTTTTTTCCTGTATAGGCATTGAGTTACGGCCTTTAAGTCTTTGGGGTGTGAGGCCAGTGGCTGATGGGCGGAGCTGACAGGTGGTTGCCACCGGCTGGAGGCAGCTCCCCGGGCCTCAGTTTGGGCAGGTGATGGCTCCGTCAGGAGATGAGGGACAGCAGGTACCTCAGTCACAGTCCCTGTCAGATGGGTCCCAGGAAACTGCTGATGTTGGCAGGCATACTGTCCTGGCCCTAGGGCTCCCTTCTCTCAACTCCCACCACCTTTATTTTTATTTGTTTATTTTCTAAAATACATTTTTTAATGATTTAAAGAGAGAGGAAGGGAGAGAGAACAAAACATGGATCGGGCCTCTCGTATGCACCCCGGCCAGGGATGGAACCCGCAACCTGGGTATGTGACCTGACTGGGAACTGAACCAGAGACCTTTGGGTGCATGGGACCCCCTCAGCCAACTGAGCCACACAGGCCAGGATCTTTTAATCCTCACTGGAGGATATTTTTCCACTGATTTTAGAGATAGAGTGGGAGGGAGGGAGAGAAGGAAAGAGGAAGAGAAAGATAGAAACACCGATTGGTTGCCTACTGAATGACCCCAATGGGCCAGGGATCAAACCTGAAACCTAGGTACGTGCCCTTCACGGGGAATCGAACCCATGACTCTTTGGTTTGAGGGCTAACACTCCTACTGCTGAGCCAAACCAGCCAGGGCACAGGCCACCTTTAATAAAAAAAGGAACAGAAAAACTTTGAGGGCCTGGGAAATGGTCTACTATAACAGTGTATAGCTGTTTCTATTGTTAATTCTTGGCTTAGTTGTTTTTTTTGTTTGTTTGTTTTTTTCACCAGATCTAATTAGGAACCAGGGGTCAACGATTGATCTTTTTACAGTATATTTAATTTTATTGAAGAGTCAACAGCTATTGATCGTCAATTTAAACATTTGTTTGCATCTGATTTAGAATATTGCATACCTGGCCCTGGCCAGTTTGGCTCAGCGGTTAGAGCGTCGGCCTGCGGTCCAGAGAGCCCCGGGTTCGGTTCCCGCTAAGGGCACTTACCTCGGTTGCAGTTTGCCCCCAACCCTGGTTGGTCGTGCAGGTGGCAACCACTCGATGTGTCCCTTTTATGTCGATGTTTCTCTTTCTCTTTCTCTCCCTCCCACTCTATCTGAACCAAAAATGGAAAAATGTCCTCAGGTAAGGATAAAAAAAATAAATAATAAAAAAGAATATTGCATCCCTGAAACGTATAAATATAATTATGTCTTCATTTTAGTGCATCTTCTAATAGGATCTTCTTATGAAATTCAATGGAGAATGGAACATTCCTAGAAACTGCATTTTATTATATCACCCTGTTAGGAACATCTCTAGTCAAAATATCATGACATGTATTGAGTATTTTGAATTTAAGGAAATAAAATTTATTATGGATTTAGTGGAATTAGAATTTCAGTAACTACAGTTCATAAAATGAGGACTTTTTGCTTGGTTATTGTGACCTTCATATTTTTCATTTATATTTCAGTACTTTAAATTTTGAAAACTAGATTTATAAAGTCACCCCTTCTCAGCCTTCTTTTTTGCTGTTTTCCATTTTTTAAAATTAAATGTATTGGGGTGACATTGTTTATAGAATTACCTTGTTGAGCAAGAATTCTAACTTATATACCGTCTGGCTCCGAGAATACGTCTCTAATACCACCGGCTCATCCTTGTCTCAGAACAGAGATCCTCGCTTATTCAGAGCAGAAAACTCACGTACTTTTTTCCCTCAAAATTTTGAATTTTAGTGTTGATCTCTGGGCTACCTTTAGTAGAGGGAACATTAATCTCTTACCCCAAGAAGAATTTGAAAGTGAAAATATTCATGAAGTGTAATGGGATTTGTTTGGGGGTAAACTGACTTTTCTTTCCTCTATTATTTATTTAGGGGCCATTGAGTTTGTGCATTGTGTTTCAAGCCTGAGGGGGTATTGATCTAATAAGGGGATTACTGTGAAGTCTTGATTATTTAGCTTTGCATGGATAGGATGATTGTGAAGGAAAATAAAACCTCAAATCTTATTAGAATAAATATTGTTATAACCAGTTTTCCAGATAATAGAGGGCTTTAAAAGGCATCCACCTCTTTTGAAAACTATTCACTGGAACATAATCTAAATATAATAATACTTTTTGGGGTGGGGGTTGCCTCCTGATATTTGGGAATTGTTTCATTTGCATTTTTGTTCTTAAAAGCTTTCCTTTGGATTTTAGGCAATGCAGTTTGGCTTCTTTAATTTCAACTCATTCAACCTTGATGAATATGAATACTATGAAGTAAGTTTTCAAGGCTATTGTATTTAATTATTTTATTCATGCTTTGCTTACAGAAGTATTATTGTTTTAAAAAATATTGAACAATTTAGTTGTGTGAAGTGTAAAACGGTCTAGCTCAACCCTCTTGCTGCAGTCCCAGGTCCTGGTGGGATTTCCGCACTGGGCGCGTCCGTCCAGAGCGATTGGTGTGCTGCTGTGCATTTCTCGTTAATGTTCAATTTAAACTTTTTATATTGATGACTTTCGTACAGTGCTTGAATGAGATTGTATTTGTAACACCCTTCGCACAGTATGAGATGAATGGTCATATTCCATCTAATTAACCTCTGGAAATGTTTTTGTCACAACCATTTGTACGAAGGCAGGCCACTTCGGGTCGCAAATTACAGAAAGTAAACACATATGACTTCCATGAAAAAGGGAAGATTTGTTGACTTACGTAAGTCAGAAGGCCAGGAGCAAGTGTGCCATCACACGTGACCAGATTCTCCCCAGAAACTGAACCGAACGAAGCTTGCTGTGTCCCCAGGCTTGCCTTTAGTTGTGATAAATATTGCCACTCGCAGCTTTGATTTGCCTGTCGGCCAAACTGACCAGAAAAGGGCATCCGTGGCTCCCGCAGACGACCCACAAAGTCCTCTCCGTGGCCTGGCTTAGATCGTTGTCCCTCGCCCTCAGCCAGGCATGCTCCTAGCAAAGGGAGGTGGGTGTAGAATACTCTGGTCATTTCAGGAGCCAGAGTGCTGTCCCAGCCCTATCAAGCCACACAGACCAAAAAAAAGAAGAGAACCCAGGCAGACAAAACCACAGATGTCCTTGTTTTATTCTTATTATTGATATTTTAGGGAGAGAGAGAGAGAAATATCGATGTGAGCGAGGTACATAGATCGGCTGCCTCCTGCACTCCCGCACTGGGGATGGAGCCCACAGCCCAGGCAAGTGCCCTGACCAGGAATCGGACCGGGACCTCTCAGTCTGTGGGACGATAGTCCACCCAGCCACACCATCCGGGTGAATACTTTGTTTTTTTTTTTAAAGAAAAATAATTTGATTCTACTTTTTATTTCACCCTCCAAATAGATAATGCATAATGTGCTTATGCTAAATGTCTTTTTCAGCCAAGAATGCTTGTGGAGTCTTTTTATCTTACTGTAGTTATCTTGAGCACGTTTTCATTAATAATGCGGTGGTTTCTCAGACAGCATTTTATGCAGCAATATCTTGAATCTTCACATAACTATTCTTTCACAGTTAATTTCTACTATTTTAAACTCTTAGGCATAACTGAACTATTTAACGTACAGCATGTATTTACTTACCATTATTACACTATTGACTGCAGTTTCATTATTAACCCCGTTTTTTGGTGCTTGCCCTTATAAAGTTAAATACTGAAAATAAAATATACTTTATTTTTTATGTAAACAGAACTTACTAAAAACACCATCTGCTGTTCCTTCGGGGCAGGCCAGGGATGCCTGTGTGTTACTGAGGGGCACTGTGGGCACCCACTGGCTTCCCTCTCAGCAGTGCAGAAAATCCCCTTGGCAGGGAGTAGCGGGGGCACCCACACGCAGTGTCCACTTTCAGTGAAATTGCGTTAGACCCAGAGAGCTGTTTAGGTAGCTACGGAAACAGGTAGCTCACAGACTGGGTTGTGTTTAGTCTCCACAGTGTGTTTAGAAATTTTGGGTGTTTATTGATTCCATGATACATTTTATAATCGCCTGCGATTCAGTGAAATTGAACTGCAGGTTTCTGGTTAAAAACTTCAGATTTCTAGTTTTACTTGAAATCAGAACACCTGACCTGGCCGGTTTGGCTCAGCGGTCAGAGCATCGGTCTGAGGACCGAAGAGTCGTAGGTTCAATTTCGGTCAAGGGTACATACTTGGGTTGCCCTGAGTTGCAGTTCAGTCTCTGGCTCTGGTCAGGTCATGCGGGAGCCAACCAACCTCCCCCCACCCCCACCTCACATTCACACTCTGCCTGAAGATGAATGGAAAAACATCCTCGGTGAGGATTTAAAAAAAGAAAAGAAAATCAGAACACCTGGCAACACTTGTGCTCATTTCCATTTCCAACTTTTAGCATGGACCTTGGGCCCGCCTGTTCTCCAGGGCCGGGGACAAACTGCAACCGAAGTACGTGCCCTTAGCGGGAACCGAACCCGGGTCTCTCCGGACCGCAGGCCGACACTCTAACCGCTGAGCCAAACCGGCCAGGGCTCGCCTGTTCTTACTAATTGAGTAAATTGGTTTTGGTTACCTGCCTGGCCTGTAGATGTTCAAGCAACTCTTGGTTTATTCCTTTACTTGTTCTTAGGTACACATACACCCCCATTTGCATAGGTAATTGATCTTATTTCTATCATTAGTTCTCTTCTTCATTATCAGTGTCTCCTACTTCCTGCCCAAGGCTTTGTGTAACCATTTCTATTGTTGTTAAATTTGAACTATATTTATTTTATAGTAATTATGGTAATTTAACCCAAAGGACTTAACCGGAAGCAAAGTGTTCTAAATTTCAGGATTTTTTCCTAGAGACCTGTGATTTTAGTATACTTATAATTTCAAATTTCCTGGTGGTTTAGTGAAAAATTTTCAGTGATCTTCTCATTAAATAGCTTGCAAAATGGTAGAAAGATGTCTCTCTACAAATAAAAAGTAAATATGGAGAAGCCAGGAGCCTAAACAGATTTTTTCTCTCTGCTCAGTGAGTCATGATTGCTCATATTGGAAGTTAGTCATTCAGGAAAAGGGAAGGTGTCCAGATCCCTTGTAATGGAATATTTTACTTTTATTAATTAGCAGAAGCTATAAGAGAATTTACTGGGATAAAATAACCAAAGTACTTAGGTATGTTTTGGATAGCAGCACTCAGCTCTGTTTTCCAGAGTCTGACTACCCCAGCAAAGAAACACTTTTCAGAAAAAGTGATTAGAATAAATCAGCTAACTTCCCTGGGAATCTTCATAGCGGGCTAAATCGCCGTTTCTTGCCTCTTGGTCATTTATGAAAAGCTTTTGTGCTAACGTATGTGGATTTGAAGTTCCGGAGACACTCAGTATTGAGAAAGGGTGTGGAGAGAAGATGAAGTCTAAAAGTGAATTGTGCTTTCCCTTTGCAGAAAGCAGAAAATGGAGATTTAAATTGGATAATACCAGACCGATTCATTGCCTTCTGTGGACCTCATTCCAGAACCAGACTTGAAAGCGGTATGCAAAAATATGGGGCCAGGCTAGTTGTTATTCAGAGTATCCATCCCGTGTCCTAAGAGTTCAACTAAGCTTGATATTCTTAATTATTTAAGTGTACTCAATCATTTCAGCACATTTTTCTGCCTGGATTTTAACTTCTATCATTTATTTTTTTACAGTTGTAATCAAATTGGAGTTCAATCTCCAATCTAGACACTGTTTCCACACAAGTACGGGTGAAATTGTTATCCATCGTTTTCTTTCTGCATTTTACAACATTTGGTCATTTCTTTATGTAGGTTACTACCAACATTCCCCTGAGGCTTACATCGCCTATTTTAAGACTCACAACGTCACGACCATTATTCGTCTGAATAAGAAGATGTATAATGCCAAACAGTTTACGAATGCTGGTTTCGACCACTATGACCTGTTCTTCGCGGACGGCAGCACGCCCACTGACGCGATCGTGAAAGAATTCCTGGGTATTTGTGAGAGTGCGGAGGGCGTCATCGCAGTGCATTGCAAAGGTGGGCCCCGGGCCCGTAAGGAGGGAGGGCGGGTACGTGCCTGCTCACTGGCCTTTCGATTCTGTGCCAGGGCCCCGGGGCCGCTTTTGCTCCTACAGAGCCACTTATTTATCTATTGTAAGTTGCTTTTTTTCTTAAAACCACTTTATTGTGGTGTCATTGACATAAAAAATTTCTACATAGAAAGAAAAGAAACCCTAATTTCATGTGAGCCCTGGCCGGTTTGGCTCAGCACTTAGAGCATCAGCCTGCGGTGCCGAGAGACCCGGGTTCGGTTCCCGCTGAGGGCACGTATCTCGGTGGCAGTTTGTCCCCGGCCCTGGTTGGGTCGTGCGTGTGGCAGCCACTTGATGTGTCCCTTTCACATCGATGTTTCTCTCTCTCTCTCTTCCTTTTTCTCCCTCCCACTCTGTCTGTACAAAAAATGGAAAAGTGTCCTCGGGTGAGGATAAAAAAAAAATTAGTAATAAAAAAATAAAACCCTGATTTCATGTGAAAAGTATAGTAAATTAAATTGTATTCCTAGTTAGCCCTACGAAGGATTATCACATTGAAATGTATCCATCGAGTATCTCTTCGGTGCCTACCGTTTGTCAGCGAGCAGAGCAGACCTCAGAGCTTGTCTTTGTGGAGTAAATATAAACAGATCGCTGTGCGTATAGCCACTAGAACAGTGCCTGGCACTTAGTACATATTTGTTGAATGAATGAATGCCTAATAATATATGAATGTACTAGGATTTATTTAACTTTTCTCCTCTTGTTACGTAGTTGATTCTGAAGACAAGGAATATATTTTTGTTAAGAAAAAAATCCAACATTAAAAAAAACCCCAGCAAATCTGGGAAATAGCCAAACTCTAATCTCCAGAGTTACCACGTTATGACATTTGAATGTTCAGCTTTCACCAAAAAAAAAAAAAAAAAAAAATCACAAGGTATACAAAGAAACAGGAAAGTATAACTCATTCAAAGAGGAAAAAAAGTGATTCAGCAGAAGCTGTCCCTGAGAAAAACCAGATGGTGGGTTTACTAGATAAAGCCATTAAAACAGCTGCTCTGTTGATCTCTGTCACCCTCTGGGTCACGTTTCCATTGTCTGGAAGGATGAGACAGGTCTGTAGCCAGACACTCCTCGCCCAGGCCTCGCGCCCAGAAACCTGAGCGCCCCCCTGTATTTGTCCTGTGGCTGTCCCTTTTCAGTCCAGACGGTCCATGTCTGCTGGTGATATCCCATCGCTGTTTCTGGCTTCTGGTGATTGAATCCATGGGTAATGTCATCATGGAATTGTTTGTTCAACCACACCCTTGGTGTTGTCCTCAGAATATGCTTTTCACTTTTTGCAACGTGGATATGCCTAGAATTTTGTAAATGTTTAGTTTCTGGTTCCTTTTTGATTGAAAAGTTCTTCTGTTTATCTCTCTCCTCTCACATTTTACTGTATCAGTAAGGGGATCCCAGGCTACACCTTCACCACTTTGCTTGCAGATGCTTTTTGCTAAATACCCAACGCAGCCTGGCCAGTTTGGCTCAGCAGTTAGAGCATTGGCCCGCGGACCAGCGAGTCTCGGGTTCGGTTCCCACGAAGGGCACGTACCTCAGTTGCAGTTTATCCCCAGCCCCAGTTGGGGTCATGTGGGTGGCAGCTAGTTGACGTGTCTCTCTCGCACCGATATCTCTCTTTTTCTCCCTCTCTCCTTCTCACTCTATCTGAAGATAAATGCAGAAATGTCCTCGGGTGAGGATAATAAATAAATAAATACCCAAGGCAGTCTTACGAGTTTTGCTCTCCACAAAGCACAAGAATGCACTTCAGCCAGTTTTTTTTGTCACTCTCTAATAAGGGTTGCCTTTCTTCTAGTTTCTGGTAATCTGTCTCCATTTCCCCCTGGGTGTGCCCCAGAGTCAGTGCAAGGGTCCATGATCCTGCTGACCGTGCTTCAAGGCGGTCTCGGTCTTTTCTCACGTGAGCCTTCCGGCTCTTGCGGCCTTTCCAATCCCAATTCCAAACCACCTCCGCGCTTTTACGTGTCGTTGCAGTCATGGCACCACAGTCTGTACTCCTGAGGGTTTTCCAGAGAAACAACCGTCAGGGTGTGTGTTATACATAGAAGGGGGGTTACGACAAAGAATGGGCTCGACACACAGGAGGGCTGGCAAGGACAGAATCTGCAGTGTGGGCTGCAGGCTGGAGACCCCGAAGAGCCAGCGGTGCCGTGACACCAGGAGGCAGACTGCTGGACAGTCCTCTCTAGCTTGGGGCGGCCGGTCTTGTTCTGCTCACACCTTCAACTGATTGGATGAGGCCCACCCACGTGTAGCTTACTCAGAAGTCCACTATGCTTACCCAAGTACACCTGCCAGGTTGACACACACAACTACCACCACAGGAGGTAATGGTAATGTAGGTGAGAGGAAAGGAGGACAGCAGGAATAGTTTTTTTAAAATTCCTGTGAAAATGAGTACGAAAGTATAGTAGAAAAACTGTTGAATGAGGGGGAATGTTTTGCAAGATTTTAAGCCTGTGTTTTGGGAAACATGATTTTACCATTAGCAGAAAACCCAGGGTAGAAACACTGCCCTTACTGAGAAGTGTCACTTCGAAAGTGATTTCGTTCTTGGCTATGCCTGCAATCATCTGGGGATTATAGCAATCTCTGTGTCCTGGCTGCATTGCATACCAGTTGAATCGGCATGCTGGAGACGAGTCTCAGTGTGTTTTAAACCCCTCCAGGTGACAGCGTGGCCTCAAACTTGGGAACCACTGTGGAGGGAAGCAGAATCATGGAGGCCTTTTGAAAAAGTCCTACCCACCCAACAAAATTCTGGAGTACGCAAGACCGGGTCTCATTGGTCTGTTTCTTTTCCCAGCTGGCCTGGGACGAACAGGTACTCTGATCGCCTGCTACATCATGAAGCATTACAGGATGACAGCGGCCGAGACCATCGCCTGGATCCGGATCTGTAGACCTGGCTCAGTGATCGGGCCTCAGCAGCAGTTTTTGTTGATGTAAGTACATGGAGAACTTTGGTCTGGAAAATTATCGGAAGCAGATGTTTCTTAGTCCCCAGAAAGGACAGGTAGTCTAGTAGGAGAACATTGTTTGTTTGTATCTTTATTGCAAAGTGTATTTTGATAATATTTAAATACTCTAACAGGAAACAGTCAAGCCTCTGGTTAGAAGGAGACTATTTCCGGCAAAAGTTAAGTTGTCAGGAGAATGGAAAACACAGAGCAGCTGTCTCGGAACTCCTCTTGGCTGTGGATGACTTTTCAATCCATGGGGTCAAGAATCAGGACAAGCACGAACCTGAACTGGTAACCAAACCATCCCCGTTACTCTGTTGTCGTTGCTTTAAATGCTGTTGAGAACCTTTCAGGGCATGGAGGAAGCTGTTGGTAAAAGTAATAAAGCACATTTTGAGGGATTATTGTCACACATTTTTTTATACTTAATAGCCCTCTCTAGGAACTTTATACTCAAAATAGTCAGAACCAGCCCTGGCCGGTTTGGCTCAGCGGTTAGAGCATCGGCCTGCGGTCCAGAGAGATCCGGGTTCGGTTCCCGCTAAGGGCATGTACCTCGGTTGCAGTTTGTCCCCGGCCCTGGTTGGTCGTGCGGGTGGCAGCCACTCGATGTGTCCCTTTCACGTCGATGTTTCTCTCTCTCTCTCTCTCTCTTCCTCTCTCTCCCTCCCACTCTATCTGTGCAAAAAATGGAAAAAAATGTCCTCAGGTGAGGATAAAAAAAAAAAAAAAAATGTCAGAACCAGGTCATGTGTTCATTACACCGAAGTTCTGTCTTACTCACTGGACACTGGTGGGGAAGGTATGTGAAGGAGCTCCTTATATGGACCCAATGACACCCCCTTCCCGACACCTTTTCATGACAGGTGACAGGGCACCCGTTGTTTTCAAATGGAGAACTTTAGAGAACCAAGAGTTTAGGGATAGCTGTCCTGAATAAAGTGGTGGTAAATAGATGGTGGAACTCAAAAAAGAATGTTTTCAGTATCGGAAACCCATTATGCCTCTTCACTGTCCATATGTTTCATAGCAAGAGTGCTATTGGCTTCTGTGTCTGTGCCAGTGAACGTTTGGTTGTCTTGAAATGTGACCCATAGCTTTATTTTGTTTTGTTTTTGTTTTTATTTTTACTTTTTCTCCCCTTTATTGATTTGAGAGAGAGAGGAAGGGAGAGAAAGATAGAAACATCAATGAGAGAGAACATCAGTTGGCCGCCTCCTGCATGCCCCCCACTGTGGGATTGGTCCCACAACCTGGGCATGTGCCCCGACTGAGAATTGAACCAGCGACCTCTTGGTGCAGGGGTCAACACCCAACCACGGAGCCACACCAGCCCGACCATAGCTTTATTTTGAAAGCTGCCAAACGCTTTAGAGTTTAGCTGAAAGTTGAAGAGTGTGTGTGTGTGTGTGTGTGTTCCACGGATGAATGCAGCCACTATGCTTTGCTACGTGCACAAGTGCGACTGAGATCGTGAGCTCAGCGTGTCTTTACTTGTGCAGTACAGCGATGACGACGAAGTCAACAGAGTGACCCAAGGAGATAGACTGCGGGCCCTGAAAAGCAGAAGACAATCAAAAACCAACACTGTTCCCCTCACGTGAGTGTGGTCTCCTTTGTGGGTTTGATGTTATTTATGTGTATGAGGTCCTGTGTGAGCATTTCGTCCCGTTTGTTTTCTCCATAGCTGCATGTCCATTATTCCACTTTGAAATGATTACGAAGTTATTTTGTTTTTTGATTTCTTTTTATTGATTTTAGAGAGAGGAAGGGAGAAGGAGAGAGATAGAAACATCGATGAGAGAGAACATCGATTGGCTGCCTCCTGCACACCCCACTGGAGATTGGACCCACAACCTAGGTATGTGCCCTGACCAGGAATCGAACTGGTGACCTTTGGGTGCATGGGTTGATGCTCAACCACTGAACCACACCGGCCGGGCAATAACAAAGTTAATTTTAAGTCGTGGGAAACTCCAGGCTATTCTTTATCTCCATTGTTGATCCCAACCAGCCTGGATATAAGAAAGCAGTGTGTTCGGAGAGCTTTTTCTCCGGGTGCAGTCTCTGTGAGACACCTCCCAGGCAGGGCACCAGATGTAATCACAGAACAGATCTGTCCATAATTATTAAAAGTGGTGAATTTCTTTTGATTTACTACTATATTACAGGTCATTTCTTTTAATATGCTGGAATTTAATCAGTGCGGACATGATCGTTTAATGTCATTATATTACTTTAGGGCAACAATAGATTAAACTGTATTTTTGTATTAATTTTTTTACTTGGGGAATTATCTTCAAGTTCCAGAACAAGGTGTAGCATGGCTTTGGAAGTTTTGTAGTCAGTGTGTGTTTGTCCACTTCTTACTGTGTAAGTGCTGGTTTCGATTCCGTCTCATAGAACATCCAGTATGGTTTAAAAAGAAAAAATGTATAATCAAAAACTTGGCCATCATTATTTTTTTCTAGGATATTTTTTTAAAAATCCTCAACAGAGGATATGTTTTTCATTCTAGAGAGAGAAGAAGAAGGGGGAAGAGAGAGAGAGGGAGAGAGACAGAGACAGACAGAGACATAGATTGGTTGCCTCCAGTATGTGCCCTAATCAGAAATTGAACCCATGACCTTTTGGTGTACAGGATGATGCTCCAACCAACTGAGCCATCCATCCAGGGCTCTCGGTTATTCTTCCACCTGTGACATTGAATTTCTTCCTCCCAGAAACCTCCCTTAGTCTTATGGACACCAGATTTCCTGTCCCCTCCCCCCTTTTTGTAATGGAGATAGGTCATTTATTCAGTAATATGGTAAGAAACTGAGACATCATAAATGTTCATGGCAGAGAAGAGCAAACCTTATTTTAACTAACAGGGGTTCTTCTTCACTGGTATCTCCTCATGATCTGAAGTTCTAAAATAGAACTGCCCATCCTGCACATGTTGCTGGAGGCCTCAGCCTTGGGCGGCTCTGCAAAGACACAGAGGGAGGAGCCGCGTTCCCAGCACAGCCACGTGCAGGAGGCCTCAGCCTTGGGAGGCTCTGCAAAGACGCAGAGGGAGGAGCCGCGTTCCCAGCACAGCCACGTGCAGGAGGCCTCAGCCTTGGGAGGCTCTGCAAAGACGCAGAGGGAGGAGCCGCGTTCCCAGCACAGCCACGTGCAGGAGGCCGCAGCTCAGCACTTAGCTGTGCCGCGGTGCCTCCATCAGCGAGGACGCTGTGAGACCGCTGCTTTGTGTAGCGCTCCCAAGTGCCCTTTGTTTTTCATTTCATTAACAGTCTTTACTTAAAGCCTTAATGGTTATTTTTATTTAGAAACGTTATTCTAAATAAAATGATTATGATTATTCAGAAGCCAGTTTTAGACACGGCGGAGGAACTAGGCAGTGCTCCCGGCGGAGCCTCCAGCCTCAGTGCGCCCGGGGCCGCCACGGCCGGGGTCTGCGGCGCGGCTGCGGCTTCGCGGCCTGGGGTCGCCGATGCTGCTGGTCCAGGCCCACACTTCGAAAGCCCCAGAAAGGGGGGATTACTGTGGTTGCTTTTCATCGTGCCCAGATTTCTTGTTTTGTTTTTTAAGAATCTGCAACATCCGTTTATTTCCCAGCTGCGTATTGCCTTCCGTTCAGAAGTCAAGCTGGGGGTCTGGGGCGGCAGTTCTGCTTGTCAGAGGTCTGCTTCCTAGGGCTTAGGGGGAGCTTCCTCGTCACCGAGCCTGCAGCCTTGCTTTCGAGAGTTCAGATGGCTCGATGCTGCTCTCGGGAGCAGTGGAGGCTGTCAGCATTTCTCTCGTAGCTGGTAGGTTTGCGGTAATATAGAAGACAACGAATGAAGACAAAGTCTAAATATGTAGGAACCCAGAAGGGGGCACTATGTAGATGCCCTTACTCTCACCTCGGGGTTGGGGGTTCCAGGGGTGAACGCTGAATGTGCTCAGTGATGGTTGAACACAGTAACTGGCGAGGGAATGGGCAGAGTGGTTGTCGAGAGCCCAGCCTCAGTGCTCCCGCTGTTTGGTTATGTAGTTACTCCCCCCGACCCACAGGGAATAAAGGACCCCGGCCCTGTGCGCTGGAGGACTCTTGGTGTCAACTAAAACCAAGTAAAACGTAAAAGTTAAAAATGTTATTAAAAAATAACGCACTCAGGATCTTCTCTAATTGTAATAGAAGAACCCCAAAACGGTCCCCCTTTTCGTACACACAGTGGACAAATTTTTGGGCCACACTTTGGAAGGAAAAGGCAGCGGGCTGAAGTTCTTCAGGCCCTGGGAGTCTCAGGTTCATCTCAGCCCATTTCCCCTCCTGCTGGCCAACATTTTGCCTGTCCCCTCCTCTGCTTTTTGAAACCCTTTTTACTGTTAAAATCATCTTTTTCCTCTTATTTGTAGCCCTTTGGGCCCTAGAAAAGGAAGTCAGTTGGAGATTTCTGTCCCTCCCAAGTGTTTGCTGTTATTTTAGAAATAAAAGTCCCCTGAGAGTGTTTTCAGCGGCAGCTTAGATTGAGAAATCTAAATTCAGTTTCTGCCTCCCGGTTTTGACTCATCTGTCACCGCTAGTGAGTCATTTTTCTCTGCCCTTGGTACTTAGATTCGAATGAGTTATGGTACATAAAATACCACTCCAGTGATCGGTTTCTATTTTATAGTCTACATCTGGGGAGAGTTAAAGTCGCTAGAAATTGTAAAACAGTCATTTTCTCAGAAAGCCTGTCTGATCCTGCCTACCGTGAAGACAGTAAGGCATGTAGCGCCAGGACCTGGAGGGGATCGTCGGGAGCGACGGCAAGTATGTGACTGTCTGCGCTAGTAGGCTTGTTAGATTTGATAACTTCCTCTGTGCGGCTTATCTTTCTGCATACTGATCATTTCTGCCAGGTTTGTTGTGGTTAAATGAACTGCTTCACGAAGAGTGGAATTGTGCCTGACACGGGACCCCCCTAACAGTACAGTGTTGGTGGGTGTGTTTTTCATCATTGGAAAATAATTCATAGGCCTTGAGCTTTACTAGTGGAACAAATAAAAACATAATGCAGACACCTGGCCATTCAGAACATTCTGCCTTTAAGATAACTGTTAAATCAGTAACTGCACATGAAAACGGGATTGATAGAGAGTTTTGTAGTGTTCCAAGGTCCTTTGTTACATTCGGTGGAAATACTAAGCCCCTGTAATCTTAACATACAGTAGATTTGATTTTTTTTTTTTTTTTTTTTTTTTTTTTTGATGGCAGGAGTAAACGAGAGAGCGCAGATTAGATTTGATCTCACGCCCACAGGATGCCTGTGCCTGGCACTAGTGTTCGGTGACAGAGATGACAAGGACATTGATAATGAGCCAAATCAGTCATTTCTGACTTGATCAGCCCCATAGTTTGCACAAAGCAAATACTCAGTGGAGTATCTGGTCACAGATGTGTCCGGGTGACCTTTTGGAACTGTAGGAGTCGGAAGGAGTTGTCACCTTCCCAGGTGTGAGGAGGTTCCTTTCTCACTGCTAGAAGCGAGGCCCGGGGATTGGGGCACCAGGCGGAAATCCTGGTCGTTTGCATGAGGGGAACAACGAAGGAGATATATCTAGTACAGAACGCCCTCGAATAATGTCATTTTGTTAGCACACTGACGAGATGCTGTAGGAAGTCACCTTTTGTTCATATCAGTCTATGGTAAAATTGGTTTCATCATATGTGGTTTTGCATAAAGTCGCAGAACCATCAATGATGTTAAGTGAGGACTTACTGTATTAATACAGAAGGGACATTTGCTTCATTTTGCGATGTCTGGGGTTGCCTATACTTTTGTAATCCTTGTGCTCAGTATATGCAATCTGCCTGAACTCCTGGATGTACAGATTATAGCTCCCGGGGAATGAGATCAGTTCTGCCGGGCCGTGTCTGATGGTGCCTCCTAGGAGACTGGTTGTTAGTTATCAGTCCAGGGCCTTTTTTTGTTCAGTTGGCTTTGCCTCCTTTTCCCCTCTGGTTTGGTTTAGTTTCCTGTGTGTGCCTATCATGCTTTTTGAAGAATTTCAACCCAACCCTATAACAACAACTTTTATTTCTGTGCATACAATTAACATGGGGGCAGTTATCGACTAGAGATCGTGTCTACTCTGTTGTTACCAGGTATCAAATCAGTTTAATACTGAAGACAGGTGTTTTTTGTTTTTTTTTTCCCCAACAAAAAATGACAAAACTCCATCCTTGTTTCCCACCCCTTTGCATCATCACAGGGTGTCTAAAATTTACACATGGCTGTACTCATTTATTTTATTTATTTTGGCCTCCCGGTTTGAACATCTGTTCTTTCCCTTCACCCTTTTTCAGATGTTCCCTAGCTGTGCTGACCTCTGCACTGTGTAGTGTTGTCATCTGGTGGATTGTTTGTGACTACATTCTTCCCATCCTGCTATTCTGTCTCGATGGTTTAAGAACACAGTAGCCATCGGACCCTTTGGCAAATAGCTGCTGTGTAAGTGTCTCATCCATTTCTCTACCAGCTCACGCTGCTGTGCCCTCTGTTCCTCGTGGCGCATGCTTTTCTCGCTTCGCAGTTCTCCTAGCTTTATCGACTCGCCTTTTTTCAAAAGTTCTCTTTCTAAAACTGCTCAGGTCATGGGGTGGTGGCGGGGAGGGAGGCCCTTCCCTGTTCTTTCCATACAAGGGATATTAACAGTGCACTTTGTTTTTAAGTTGTTCTTAACTCTTAACAGATTTTTTTGAAATAGCAATTTAAAAAGACACTGAACTAGCTTCTTTTCCCTATCAGAACTAATTAATTAGTGTGGGATACTTTGGGGTGCTTTTCTTTCAGTCACTTGTCCCTACAACTTTCCTCTCGTTTTCTAGAGTAAACACCTTTAGTGGGTCCTTTCCCATCCAGCAGCTGTCATTTCACACTGGTTTCCTGCTGTCGGCACAGGTGTGGCTTTGTGGCCGGGTCTCAGAGCGGGGCGTCCTGGTCGCCTCGCTTCTGCCGGACACGCAGCCTGCTCCCAGCGGGCGGCTGCGCCCTGGTCAGGCTCTGTCTTGAGTCTGCAGAATTTTCTCCTCTGCCTCATTTTACTTCCTCCCCCTTACAGTGAAGAACAGTTTTCAAAACTTGATGTTAAGCACAAGTAGGGAAGCAGAGAAGACTGCAGTCTTTGTCTGTGGTAGTGTTTCTGCATGACCGGCCTCCTACTTGCTTCTTTCGCAACAGTAACCAAAATGCCTTTATTAGCTTAATGCAGACAGAAATTCGTATTGTCTTGATACCGTTCATCCTCGAATGAAGACTTAACGGTGAAGGGACATCCTTCCTGCATGAGAACGTGGCAAGAAGCTCACCTGGGGAAGATCACCGAGTCCAGACCGAGCAGGACGGGGTGTGCGGGTGACCGCTCCCCGCTCATGTCCAGGCTGCACTCCTTTTCCTCTGAAAATGTTTCTTTAGCTCATATTTCAAGAATTTCTCTTCTTGTTCCAACTTGGACTTGGGAGTTACTAAGAAATGCAGAAGTTCCTGCTAGGACCTCCTCCAAAGTGAAATTCCACGGCAGCAACCCCGGCGCTTCGTGGTTTCGCTGCGTGTCTTCAGGTGGCTAGAAAAGACCGCGAAACCCAGCAGGCTTCATGCTTTTCGAAATTAAGGAAAAGCTGCTGGACATCTTTCTATTTGTGACATTTTCTTCAATATCTTATTAAATACAAACTTATCGCATAGGCTGATATGCTGTACTTCTGGTACAGATTATCCTTTTAGGTGCTTTTCCCCTTTATTTCTCTTAATGAGCTTAGATTTCCAGATATTCTGACGGAAGGGTATCACGTACTGTATAGATTTATTCTTCTCAGACGGTCTCTTCTCGCTGAGTTCTGCCTAGGTGGAGGCGTTGCTAATAGTCTTTCGGTGCCTTGTGATTTTATTATTTTTCCCAGGGTAAGTGTTAAATGGGCTCCATGAGGCTCTTTTCTTTTTACTGTTCTATGTAAGGTGTAACCCTTTTCTGTCATTACTAACATTTGCCGTGGCATTAGACCCAGAGCAGAGGATTCAGTTAGCCTGATCAATTAATTTGGGATTTGTAGAAACAGGCGCTTTCCACAGGAACAACGATGCGAACAGGTACACTCCCTCGCAGTCGTCTGTGAGGCCATTGCTCCTGGGCACCTGAGCGGGCGTTTGCCTGCTGGTCTGACGGGCTGAGAGGTGGCTGTGCCTGGAGCCCTGGAGCCCAGGGACGCTTGATTGCTGCGTCGCTCTCAGTGGGACAGACACGCCTGGAGTTGCAGGGCCCCAGGCCCATCACTTTGAAAGCTCCTTTGGGACGAGTGGTCTTCCGCCGTGTGAGTGGTGCTTTGTTGCACTGATGTTTTCTTTTCTGGGACTGAATGTTTATGTTCAAAGCATGCTGCGGCCTGATAGGCGAGAGACCACGTCTCGCCGTTTTTGCTCCGCTGTATTCCTCAACTTGCAGATGTCGTGTCCCCGCTCGGGGAGTGCTGGGGCCGCAAGGCACTGCGGGGAAGAAAGTGAGCTGCAGTGTGGGGAAGGGGTAAGAATGGGATGGGAACTCTGCCAGGGAAAGATGGGAATGGGGAGGAGAACATCGTACACTGAGGACGCCTCTGCAGAGCACGGGACTGGCCTGGTGTGCGAGATGGAGATGGTGTCCCCCGTTTACCTGTGGCGGGTTGCCAGCGTAGCGCAGCTTAGCAGGTGTTCCTTGTAGGCTATCACAGGTAATACCTAAGGGTAGTTGCTGGGTTTTTCCCCACGTTATTGATGCATAACCTACAGATGTAACAGCTCTCTGTTGTTAATGCCAATAACTGGAGACCTGAATCTTTATTAATGTGATTAATGCATTCCAAAGGCCTGTCACGCTCGGATTTCAAAGTTTCACATTAATTATTAGCTATTATTATTATTATATTCACATTGTTTACACTGATTTTATAGATACTTAAAAGAAAACATGCTTTCTGTCAGCCTAAAATTTGATCTAGCAGTACTTTCTTGTCTTCAGTAGTATTGAAACATTTCAGTATAATTAATTTAAGGAATCAGATCTTAAATTTCCTAAGCAGGCAATGTGTTGGCTCTTGTTTTTCCTTATATTAATGATTTTGCAATGTGGTGTTTGTCCATACTTTTGGCCATAAGTGGCCTCCTTTGCAAAGTAGCTGTGGCATTTCAAACAAAAGCCAACAGGAGCCTCATTTTCTCCATTTGTGTGAATGCAGATGAAACCTGGCGGCTTAGCCCTGGCCAGTTTGGCTCAGCGGTTAGAGCGTCGGCCTGCGGTCTGGAGAGACCCGGGTTCGGTTTCCGCTAAGGGCACGTACTTCGGTTGCAGTTTGTCCCCGGCCCTGGTTGGTCGTGTGGGTGGCAGCCACTCGATGTGTCCCTTCACATCGATGTTTCTCTCTCTCTCTCTCCCTTCCTCTCTCTCCCTCCCACTCTATCTGTACAAAAAATGGAAAAATGTCCTCGGGTGAGGATAAAAAAAAAAAAAAAAAGAAACCTGGCGGCTTTGGGGCAGCACTGAGCCGGGGCTTGGAGAAGGCAGGGGGAGCGTCCTTGGCTGGTCATTGTTGTTGCTTTGTTTTTCTTTATGAAAAATCTAGATTCAGAATCTCCATTAAAATAGCTCCAGTAAATATCTCCCCCTCCTTTATGTAATCAGAAAGAATTTTAAAATAAACCCTTGTTTTCAGGTAGAATTCATGTGCCAGGGCAGTTGGTGTCTGTGTTTACACAACTCTGTCTGCATATACTTTTTCTGCTAGAATATTCACTGTGTAGGAGGATGAAACTTGATGAGAAATCCTGAGTCCAGTACCACCAGCTCATTTACCTAGGATCAGCTTCCCCTCCCCGAGATGGGGGTCCTGTTTCCTAGGGCCCCTACAGGAGTAGCAACCCGCCTTCAGCCCGCCCCCCTCAGCCCCAGACAGCTTGACCACCACTGGCCCCCAGACTTCTGCTCTGGTACAATACAACCCATTGTTTTTAGTGATGGGAAATAAGCATTTTACTAAATGTTGAATATTTAGTGCTTTGGGTAATACTCAGACTGTAGGAATTTACTAATCTAATTGATACTACGTTGTAAGGACCTAGCTTTGGTTATTGACTAACATGGTGGTAATGCAGGCATAGGAGGTAGGACTACTGGTTTATTGGAGTGGTTTGTTTGTTTGTTTGTTTGTTTCTTTGTTTCTTTTTTTAAGAGAGAGTAGAAGGGGGGGAGGGAGGGCGAGAAACATCAATGTGAGAGAGAGACATCGATTGGTTGCATCCCACACGACCCGACTGAGACTAGGGATCGAACCTACAACCCAGGTGTGTGCCCTTGACTGCAGTCGAACTCGAGACCCTTTGGTCCACAGGTCAACTGAGCCACACCAGCCGGGGCGCTTCTTTTTGCTCTTAGGAGCTGGGTTCAAGCCAGTTGTTATCCAAATGCTTGCATATGAGAGGAGAAAGCTTTTTGAAGTGATGTTTTCTCCTACAGAGAAATAAAAGATGGGTGTATAAATGTGGGTTGCATACATTTTAGCATTTTAGTCTCTTGAAGTAAAGAATTGTGTATAAAATATTTTTGTGTTTTCCCTGTGATAAATGAGTGAGGAATTTAAAAACACCCATAGGCTTACCCTCATAGAGTTCTTTCTGATTCATGAATTTGCCCCCAGTATAATTGATTCCCATAGGCATCACTTCCTTGAGGTTTTTAGGGTTTAATTAAATCAAGTTTCACAAAATTTAAGCAGTTTTACTCTTTTTTGTTTTGTTTTGTTTTGTTTAAGAGGAGAGAGAAAGATAGAAACATCGATATGTGAGATATATCAATTGGCTTCCTCCCACAACCTGGGCGCGTGCCCTGACCGGGAATTGAACCAGGACCTCTCAGTCTATGGGATGGCACTCAGTCCACCGAGCCACACTGGCTGGGCTAAGCAGTTTCACTTTCTCGTTAATGGCACTTGGTGATTTAGTAAGCAGTTATAATCCAGACAAAACTCAAATTTTTCTTGAATGTGTTTGAAAATTTGAAGTGTTATATAAAACTGGTATTGATGGGGGGTTTATTGCCCCTGCTCTTAGCTCTGAGGAGTGGATATTGTATAGACACTTATACACATTCTTTAGAATTGGGGAGATTAAATGATTCCTTGTTTTCATGACTGGAATTTTGAGCATCTACTTTTACCTTGGGGCACTTGTTTTACTGATTGGTTTCTTTGGTGTGGGAATTGTTAAAAAAAAAAACACCAGGTCATTCATTGTCCAAAAGCACAGTACTCTCATTAACTTTGGAACTAACCTTCACAGGGAAATGAGATGCCTCGTTTCAAAAGACCTCGATGCAAAAGTGCGTTTATGGGAAATCCTATCCGTTCTCCATCAAATAATTTGCACCCAAGTGCAGAATGCCTTCTTGTGTCAAGTATTTGAAAATTGTTTCAGTGATATCATGTTAT